CGTGTAACTAAACTCTTCAGCCAATAACGGCAAAGGTGTGTTGTCATGGAGGCGGTTCCAGTTTGTGCAGCCGGGTGAGAGGTCACAATGCATTTAACCGTAATGCATTGCATCAGGATCAGAATGCGTTGCTTTAAGCCAGCACTGTAAGCAAGTCTAAGACACCCAATGACCAGACTGGGGAAACCAACTGAAACGCAAACTTAAGGACTAATGACAACAACCAGAAACAGCTGATCACATGGGGATCCCACACGAGGTTAACGAGGGGGCGTGGCACATGGAAGGAGCGGACGATCGGGGCAGGACAGGAGTAATGTTGGGATAAGATCTTTATCGTTTTGGAAGCCATTAAGAAAAAAATGCTCATGTTTTATCCTGTTCATTTTGTGTTTAAATGCTTTAAAAAAAACAAAACATATTTAGGTGTAATTTTGGGAGGCCGGGAACCAATTAATTGGTTTTCCATTATTTCTTATGGGAAAAATTCAATCAGAACTCGAACTTTTTAGGATTCAATCCGGAGTCCGGAATGGATTAAGTTTGAGAACCGAGGTACCACTGTATTTTAATCAGTTATTACATAGTAATTATTCAAATGGCGATGGCATATTATTTGTTCAATCTATTAAGCTGGACAATAGCTTTAAAACAATATAAGGACCATTTCTGTGCAGCTTACATTAAGATAAATATAGGCAGTCAAAGTCATACCCCCCCCCCAAAAAAAAATAAGTTAAAACTTTATTGACTTAAATCTCCCTAAATATTGATCCAAGACTCGCCCAATTCCAGTTTCATGAGTTACTCATCTGACCAAATCAGCATGCCAAGTTTTGTTAAAATTTGTGACGATTAGGTCCATATCCAGGTCTATAAGATTCTAACAGGTTTGGATGCTGTTCAACCGAATAGTTACTTCAGCATTAGTTCAAATACAAGAACTCGTGACCATAGGTGGAAATTAGCGGGAGAACATTTCAAACTGGATTTAAGGAAGTACTTCTTTACACAGAGTGTAGTCAGAGTATGGAATAGTCTTTCTGATAACGTAGTGCTAGC